TGTATCCCTCTGTATCCCCCCTGTATTCCCTGTATCCCTCGGTAACCCCCTGTATCCCCGTATCCCCCCTGTATTCCCTGTATCCCTCTGTATTCCCCTGTATCATAATGTATCCAAATATATTCCTGTATCCTAACATCACCCTGCATAAATCTCACTGGAAAGGTATGATTTATTTGGTGTACCATCCTGGTCAACCCGTCTACAACTTGCTTTACACTGCCTAAATGTTGGGCCGGTAATGTGCCTGAGTGTTGAAAGCTGTATCTAAACCTGTTAAGAGTATAGGGCTGCGAGCAGTTTCAAAGGATTAAGAGGCAGAGTTTCTAAGATTAACACTTTTATTTCAAACTTTGATGAAGTAAAAAGAAAAAAGTTTAGAACAGGGTGTCACGGAAAAAAATTACAACAACTTTATTCAGACTTTTCTGCAAAACAAATTCTGCTGAAACCAAGATATTTACTTTCACCCAGTTAAATCTTTCAGAGTTCTTCAAAATCAAAATATTTTTGATTTTTCTCACTTTTTTTGTGACACCCTGTGTGTAAGACCCACTATGTTAATTTACCCTGGCGGCATATATTCTAATTTCAGCCTCCTTTCTCATCAAAGGAAATTTGTAAATAACTATAGTTCAAATAATTTTTATCTAATCTGCTTTGCTGACTAACTCTGAAATTTGAGCAGCACAAGATCGAAGAAATTTCTGATATGACCGCATAATGACGTCACAAATCACTGTGATCTTGCCAGGCTACATTTGCCGCATAAAGCGTGCTGGGTCAACTCTACACTACACTGCAAACCAAGATGTTCTTTGTGCAGTTCCTCATGTAAAAATCTAGCAGTATTTTGTCAATTACTCTTTTTCAAATAATGGTGGAAAAAGGCGCATTGTAATGTTAAAATGTCTAAGGCTATTAAATGTAAATGAGAGTTGGTGAGGTTAAACCAGAGTTGTCTGGTCTTCTGTGACTAAGTAGCCTGACTGGACGGTACAACAGACTGTTTATACAGTACACGTTGTACCGGCACGGATCATACAACAACATAGGTTGGATTGAGATATTATTATTTGTTCTCTATTTAAAGATATGATAGATATGATAATGAATTCTTTTAAGAAATCATTAAAAAAGATTTTTATGCTTACTGCACAAAAATATATTTATTTTCGGCATGCATGAAACACTGTCAAATAAACCTAAAAATTTCTTGGTACCAAAGAGCTGATTCTTTCAAAAATGGCCACCATTTTAGATTTAAAATATTCCTTTGTAGCTTTGATTTATAAATTACTAGTGTCCTGTTCTTAGTAAAGTATTGCTATACTTCTAAACAATATGTTATCTTATAGCATTAAATTTCATTATAATAAAGTGATAGACAAGTGTATCAGATTGATGTATAAAGTTTTAAAAATCTATCAGAGTGTCGAAAACCATCAAAGCCCGTAGGACCTTATATAGTAAAGACTCTGATAGAATTTTCTAAATATTAAGTCAATGCAACAAAAATGGTAACCAAATTTGAGGAATTAGAGAGGTCACTGAACTATAACATACCACTGGCTCAAATCCTGAATCACCGACTAAAATTCTCATAAATCAGCGATTCAGTATTTGAACCAGGGGAAGTATTAGTTAGTTCAGCAACATCTCTCCAATTCATTAAATTCAATCTAAGGGTATATATTATACCTTAAATAGGGTTTACATAGTAATAAACCTAAAACGATCATATTAATTATTCCAAAAGGAAGATTAAAATAATACTAAAGCGTTTGAAACTGTTGGACAACAAGCAGACAGCACAATTCTTCTAGAGCTTTCTAGGTAGGTTGGAAAATGATGTACGCTGTACAAAACATGTGGTTAATTTTACATTGGCAAACTTTATGTACACTAAAATAGAAACCCCCAACAAGCCAAATAACGTTCCCAGAATATTAGGTAATGTTACTTTTAAGCCTTATTAAAAATAATTAATGTTACTGTTTTATGTTACAGTAACATACAGAAGTACCCACAACAACGTTATGTGATGTTATTATGTTACATTAGTTGATATTACATTCAACGTTAATTAATGTTTAGTAACATATATTTAACATTATGATTTAACATTTGTTATCTCACTTGGCATGTACGGATTGGCACATTACGCCAACATTCATGATTTAATATTTCCAATGTTGATAATCAAAATCCGGTAAATTTTGTCATGTTAATTGGAATAGAAAATAGAAAAGAAAATAAAGAAGAGCTCTATTCCCGGAACTGGTTTTTTGTTTACTTATCTTCAGTGTACACAAGGAAGAAAATCTGCTTTGCAGAGAATTAAGTATTTCCATGTATTCTACAGACTAACATCATTTTCATGCACAACATTAGACAAGTGTACAATTATGTCCAAATTGATGTACAGACATGAGACAAGTGTGTATATATATATATGCAATACAAATAGGTCTTTTATACTTACTCCTCAAATCTGGAAGAATTAATATTATTAATGATTTTATAATTATTGATACAATATATAATTTATAAAATTACATCCCCCCCCCCCCCGGTTTTTGCTAAAGTTTTTACCATCCTATTACTTAACTTTTATTTTCGGTAATGGGTTTTCTTTTGCTTTAATTAAAACTTTTGTGCTACAACTTTTTTTTTACCTAGTTATGTATCATCAATTAAAAAAAGCAGACTTACCAAAAATTACACAAAAAAACTTTTAAAAACTGAGATAAAATTAAAATGCCCTAGTCAGAACTTTTGTGTTGTGAATTGTTGGATCAATCATTGATCTCTTTTGTGTGCAGACCTACTGATTAATTTAATTCCTCTTTAATATCACGTGATTAAGTCCTACCCAGCAGAATATCTTTAATTTAAGGGTCAAGCATTGATCCTTAAATTTAAATGTGTCCACATTGGATACAGAGATCAAGCATTAAGGAAAAGAAAGTTAGAAAATTTAACTTTATCAAATCAAATAGTATGTGCATTTTTTGTAGAACGTATTCAGATTTAAGATAAAATCTCCCAGGATTTTCACACACAGGAATTTTTCTATTTCAAGATTTGGAAAAATTTACCCCTAAACTATTTAAAATGAATCAAATTTGAATGTTTGAAAACTGCTTCTCAAGTATTAAATTGATCCAATAAATCCATTCAGATGGTTTATTCATTAAAAAGTTTAAAGTAGGAAAGGTAAGGATTTAAATTTATGCTGATTGGGTTAATCGAGTTGAAATGAGGGATATATATTTTACAAATTTCAAGAAATTGATTAAAACTGAAACCAATTTAACACCTATTTAAAGTCAATGTTGGTAACAAAATTATAATTTTCTAAAATAATGATAAGATCAGTACAAAAATCTTGTTGGAAATTTTTCAATAATGGGTATTTTTATCCTAGTTTTTAAAATTTTGAATGAGCATTCAAAATATTTCGAGACATTTATCTGGCAAAAATATAAAGTGAAGAATATACCCTACTGTTTAATTAAATGCAAAGATTAAGTGCATTTTGCATTAGGAATTTTAAATGGATCAAAACACACATAGCAAAGTTTTAGTGGGAAAATATTTTATATTAAAATGCAACACTCAACCTAAATGGTTAGAAAAAAACACATTTTGTTTGTAATATCAAAAACATGGAAAGCAATTAAAAATTCAGAAAAATTTAAATAAAGATGAAAGGTATTTCTCATAAATTTTCATATCCCTAGCACCAATGTTCTTAAGCATTTTTCATTTTTCCCTACTCATTGTTTATTTCTGTGAATTTCTCCATTACTTTTTATAAGCAACAAATGTGCAAGTCACTTTTGCAGAGAAACCACTACAAACAATTTGCACAGAGAGTCAATTGAAATTTTGCTTACAATCCCATTAATTCTAAAAAGGTTCTATTAATGTCAATATTATGAACAAAATGTTAAAAATTCTTAAAACAATGCAATTAGAGAATTTTAGTGAACAAAAATATCATTGTGAAGAAAAATTCTAAAATTTAGTTGCTAAAATCCCCCAAATGATTATAAATCAGAGTGTACATAAGAATTCCAAAATGGTGGTGGAAGGTTGTTTGAAAATCTTGAACCTCATTTTTTATTCATTAGAAGAGAACTGCTTGGAAGAATATTTCTCTGTATATTTTATATTTCATGGCTTTCTATTTTTTCTGTCTGTTTTCAATGTGGTTAAGGCTGAACTGAATCTTTTCTAAATCTTGGGTGTTATACCAAGTTAACAAAAAAGTAGGGTTTCCAACTTACTGGCACGCAAGTGTGGGCCCTGTAATTTCCGCGCAATTCCGTGCAATATGAGAACAGTTACATTCGATTCTGCACAGTTGTTCACAAATCCTCACAGTTGTGCCCGATTCTGTTCAACGGAATTTTGATTGGAAACCCTTAAACAAAAGTCAACACTGAAATCCCCTCTGGAAGTGCATAGTTTTAAGGCCTGTTTTTAAATATGCTTGCTTCATATTACACTATGCAAAATTTGTTTTCTAACCAAAAGTTTTCGTTTTATTTTATCAGAGAAAAAAATTTCCATAATGTAATTAAAGCAAACTTATTGAGAATACAATTTTTTTGCCTCAAAGCATAAAAAACTTGTGTAACAAAATATTGGAATTTAAAATCTTTCTAAGAAAAATCATAGAAAATTTCTCTTTTTTCTACATTAAACATCTCAAAGGATATATAACAACCTTGCAAGATTTTTGTTACAAGAAGTCTCTTAAAAAGATTAATTGTGATGAAGCAACAAACATTAACACTAGATTTAGATACTTATGATAATATGCTTTAAAAAAATATGGATTCTTTAATGCTTTAAATCTTATAAAATGAAGGGCGGGGGTATATATTTATACCGCATCAAGATTTATAAATTTGAAATCATACTGATGCCCTGGGGACTTTGGGGGAAAATTGAGATTTTGTTGCATCAGGGGGGAATAGGATAAGAAGTGGGGGAAAATAAGGATAAGCAATGGGGTGAGGGAGGGGGGATTTCAATTTTAACATGTTTGCTTAACAATATTTTCTTTTAATCTATTCTTTGTTGGTCCATTGAATATTCCAGACAAATAGTCTAGAAATTTTTTAAAAGAATTATAAAACATGACCACAAAATATAAAACATGACCACAAAATATAAAACATGACCACAAAATATAAAACATGACCACAAAATATAAAACATGACCACAAAATATAAAATGCAGAATTTATATAGTTTAAACTATTTTGAACATTTTGGATTTAGGATCGGACAAATTGAGCTCATTCAGTTCAGCCATCTTACACTTATTGAGATAGCCAAGCAAACGAACAGAAAAATACATTAAATACCAAAAATGAAATACCAACCTTTAAGGAAAACCTTTCTCACAAAATTATTTTTTTTTTTGGGGGGGGGGAATTATTTTCTATTTTTAAAAATTTCCAACACTCAAATTCTATTTTTTTGTTAAGACCTGTTTTCTTGAATGAAAATGTTAAGATTTTAAAATGATGCCTCTGTATACAATAATTGTAGAATACAAAATCTCAAATGCTGGAAGCTTATGCGACAATATGATCCAATTTGCATATCATGAAAACAGATGTCACAAGTGAGGTGGGGAGGGAGGGGGGGGGGCTTGTTACTAAAGGTAGGTGGAGAAGGGGGGGGGATGTTACTGATAGCAAAGATTGAGAAGGAATTAGTCTTTGCCACAAATCCCAATTTTCTAATACCTTTATCTCTAAAACCAGATGGCGTAAACCTTTGATATTTCAAACTTTGATTATTTGATCCATTAAGTTTGAAATATCTAGGGTCTACAACATTGGGTTGTAGAGATAAGGGGATTAAAAAATTAGAGTTTGTGGCAAGGATTCAATTCCTTAGAATTTAACCAAATGGCAAAATTAGTGTTTTTAGTTTTTATTTTGATTATTCCTACATTTATAAATAGCATAAAAAGTGTTTAGGGAAAATATCATTTACACATTTTATTCTTGCATTTATCTATCTATCTATAGAATTGCATTTAAAAGATTTATATGATTTACAACCCAGAACATATCTTTCTTTTTTCATAGAAGTGTTAAAAAGTTCTAAATAAATACTTTTATTACACATGCCTTTTAAACCACACTAAACACACCATTATTATTAATTGTTAATATATTTAACTCAAAAATCTACAATAGGCCCCCCCCCCTTAAAGCCAGTGTACACTCAAACCGGTTTTTATTTACCTGTTCACCACAATAGGGACTGGAAGGGCCAGAATGAAGATCCCCATGAGAGCACACAGTCCACCAATAGACTGAACAAATATAGGAGTTAATATCATCAATAATTGTAAACATTATAAAGTGGAAAACTCGTCAATTGCACTTACAGAAAGTAGTTATAAAGACCCTGCAAACATTTAGTCTCCAAAATGCCAATGTTCACATCAAATGTTCAGAATTATTTACCCTACATCTTTGCCATCGGAACTATAAGTCTGGTTAAACGTTTCCTGGTGGTTATTTTCCATTTGCAGCAAATGCAGCAAATCAGAGTGTCATATGTGCCGGGAAGCCGGGAAATTTTGAAAATTTTACACTCTATCAATGAACTCTTATTAGTCGGAATCCAGCAGGGATATTCAAAAAAGAGGACTAAGAATAAATCAAAAGTGTTCAAAGTGTATACAGAGATTTATAGCAATCTAGATTAAAGGTATCCAATACAAGAGCTCTAGCTGTTCAGGTAACATTTAATCCGTTCGTTTACAGCAATAATACAGTAAAACCCTTAATAACGAATACGTCGAAAGAATTCATCAAATGTCGTATTCTTCACTTTCTGATAATGGAATGTTGCAGATATTTAGTTTTTTAATTAAATGATTATATGGAACTCTTTAAAACTGTTCCCACATATTCATGGCTATTTATTTATTTTCGCAAATACTGAAATTTACGTAATATAGTATAAAACTCATCGAAAAATTGTCAAGATGACATTTGATAAATTCTTCCGATGTATTTGTTATTGAGGGTTTCACTGTAGTAGATTTCTTAATAATCTGGTTATTCATTTCATGTTTAACTATTAAAAGTTAATCCTTTTGTTAACTAGAGTGGTTCTTAATTCTGTCTTTTGGGGTATAAATTTTAGAAAATACAAAAGATGGCATTAAAAAACGACATTATACAATACAAAAATATACCTATTTAAACAATAAAAATGAAAGCAAATTAATGTTATTTTTTTAAAATAAAAGCTTTTATTATTTGAACAAACAATTTATTTCGTTTGTAACAATGTAAAAATTAAATGTATTTTTCCTGGTTTTTAACCAAATTTCCCTTTTATTTTCAAAAACTTCTTTTGAATAATAGCCCAGCCCTAATTATAATCTTGTCATGTTTTGTGTTTCATGGGGGCTGTTTGTCTGACTCTTAGTTTAGAACTTTAAGGAAAAGAAAGTTGTTAGATAGTTCTTTAAAGCCATTGATTTGGCTTTAATTTTATAATGTATTGTTTACAAAGTTTTGTGACAAACAATGTGAAGTACACTGCAAGGAGTGTAGTTTGATGTGCCATGGTGGACTATAGGCACTCTGGGCCGTAGTAAATTTGAATTCGAACAGTATACCGGAAAAAGTCTGGTAGGTGGGAAGGTACCTAAATGCATAACTAGCCAACTAGCACAACTAAAGATACTATTATTATTGTATATTTTATTCCAATTTATAAAAACATTGCCAAATATAAAGTGTATGTGAACCCCGCTAGATGGTATGCGGGACTGAAGTATATTCTCAAACTCCTTCTTTAAGTACAATTCAGATAATATTCCTGGTTTAAACTCGGTTCCTGCTTCATCTACGCATTATTGAACTTGGTTCATACAACAGGACCTGACTGTACCGGCCTGCCAGATAACAGCATGTACTGACCCGATTCTTTGGTACAGTACGTACTAGCATACGACAGGGGTCAATTTTCTTGGCATAGTCCCGTCGGAGGGCTAACTAAGACAACTCCCATGGCGCGTTTAGACTTTTTACAGTACCCGGCCTAATCCTAGGCCTATTTGACAGACCCCACTGGCTTAGTTCACCATGTAGGGTCAATTTGAATTCGAACCGGACCAACCTCTTGTACTGGCCTTAGTGACGCGGGGCAAGTACAGCCTATCCTTTGTCAACCCAGTTTCAACTTTGATGGCGCAGCCAGACTTTTTATATCACCCGACCTATCACAGGCACCTACCTACCTCACTAGCTTAGTTTAGTGTGGTGCTCAGATTATGTTATGTAAAAAGTGTAACAGGCAGATGACAATTGAGCAATCATCTGATAAAAGTTTCAAGGGTACCTTGTGTATCGGACACTGCCATATTTGCATAGATGGTCAAGTAAAATTTTGAATGGATCTGCAAAAACCCCAGCCAACAGGAAAATTGATTAAACCCAATCGTTGGAAGATCTGAAACAGTATTGAGCTTTCACTGATCACTGGTACCGCCCCGGTCAAGGGTTATTGTACCGAACATGGATTTACTGGTACCAACAGTACAGTACAGTGAGAACAGTACAGTACAGTGAGAACAGTACAGTACAGTGAGAACGGTACAGTACAGTGAGAACAGTACAGTACAGTGAGAACAGAAACCTGGGGAATAGGAAGACGTTGTTACAAAGCAAATAATTTTATTAAATATTATTATTAAACTTATTAAATCACTTATTATGTTAAATAAGTCTGTTAAGATTGCAAAATTGTTGCGTCTCATGTTTTATCTAAAGTCTTTAGACCTTATAATTCATCTTCCTATTCCAGAGATTTCTAGTTCTCACTTTAATAATCAAAACATCATTGCTCTTTAGACTATTTTGAAGCCAAAGCAGCCCTAAGTAGGTGGGACAAAATCATCTTTTTAAAGAAATGTAGAAGAAGGAAAACTTCAAACTGCCATTTCTTCCTTGAAGGAATTGAGTCTTTGTCATAAACTCAAATTTTCTAATTTCTATATCTTTGAAGCCTGATAGCGTAAACCTTTGATATTTCAAACTTAGATTATGTGATCTAATAGAATTTTTAGGTTGAAATATCTAAGTTCTACGACATTGGGTTGCATAGCTCTAGTCATCAGAAAGTCAGAGTTTGTGGCAAAGACTCAATTCCTTTGTTGCTATCTACCTTTAATTGTTATCAATTAAACAGAAAACATTCATAGAACTCTAAAAAAAAAAATAATTTTAACCACGGTGAGTGCTTTACAATGTCTAAAAGATAATTTTTTTTTTGGAAACTCTATATTTCAAAACCTAAAGCGCATTTTCAAATATTCATTTGAAAATCTTGTTTGTATCATTCTTATAAACAAAATCCATATCCTGTTTTTACTTTCCGAGGTTGTTGTTTTCATCACATGCTTTACATAAATCCAGACTGCCTTAGGCTTTTGATTTTACCAAACTAGCTTACTTATACTTTTTTGTAGCCTTTGACATGTTCATTTTGGAACGATAATAAAAAATTGCATTTTAAAACAAAATTCGCAATTTTAAACAAAATTCACAATTTTAAACAAAATTTGTAATTTTAAACAAAATTCGCAATTTTAAACAAAATTCGCAATTTTAAACAAAATTCGCAATTTTAAACAAAATTCATAGTTTTAATTTTTAATTTTTTGGTCAAAGAGTTTAATTAAGATACTTCGCTCTCACCTCAACTCCATGCCGGTCACTCTCTTTACACATGTAAATTAAAAAGTTTATAAGTTACAACGTTACTCCATTGTATTAAAAAGTTTCTAGCTCTGTTAAATCCTGAATTGCCCAATAAAATCCTAATTTGTTTCGAATATTCTTCCCGGTCGACATTTTCAGATTTAAATATACAAACTCATTTCTGCTTACAAGCAATATTCAACCTTTCAAGCTGAATTATTTTAGAAAATATAAAAATATGTCTTTAATAGAATGTACTTTTAATGACGATTTTTTTTTGTTCGCTGGGTATTCAAATTCCTGAAATATAGAAAGCAGAAACATAAATAAAGTGAAATAAGTAGCGATTAAACCCGATTTCAATTCCGGCTAATTTTCTATTTAAAATAGCAAAACTTAAGTAAAGTTAAATTGAGTTTGGTTTCATTATCTATCAGAAAATTTCAATTTAATAAATTTTATAAACTATATTATTAAAGTTTGATGGTAAACATTGAAGCGCTGTTACTGCTTTATTGAATAACTTGATATTGATTCAAAATTTTTTTAATTTTTCTATTTAAATTTTGTTTAAAAGGGGTGACACTGACCATTTAAAAAAAATTCTAATTGTCAAAAGAAATTGACTCTTTTCCACAAACTCTGATTTTCTAATTCCTATATCTTGGCAACCAAACTATGAATTCCATTAAGTTTTAAATATCACTTCCAGGTTTCAAAGATATAGACATTAGAACATTTGAGTTTCTGGCAAAACTCAAATTATTTTTCATCAAATTATTTTTCATAGGATTTCTCCAATATGTGGCAATAAAGTTATGATGGATAGTAAAAGTAGAATAATTTTATTTCAAATTCTTAAAGATTTTTATTTTTATTTCATACAAATATCATGCTTTTTGGGTTTATTAAATTGTTAAAAAAGTACAATGGCTTGATTTAGGGGCGTAGTCAGGAACTTTTCAAGAGGGGGGCTTACATTTTGTTTTATTTCCAGGGGGGGGCTCAGCACCTAAAAACCCCCTGAAATCCAAAGATTTCACTAGTCCAGGGGGGGCGGTAGCCCCTATAGCCCCCCCCGACTACGCCTCTGGCTTGATTTGTAGGTAATTTAGCTTTATGCATATATAAATATGCTTCTTCTAATGTCATTCTTAGTTCTATAAAGGATTTTGCATGTAGTCTTTGTCACAAACTTAATTATTGTAACTTTGCCACCTGATGTTGAAGACCTTTAATATATCAATCTTAATTTATTTAATCAAGCAGAACTAAGAGTTTGATATACGACATTGGCTTGCAAAAATAAAAGGATTACAAAATAAGAATATGTGACTTGATCAGGATATCAGGATATATCTTTATAAGGTACTAGCTAAAGGGCCAAGGCGTTGCCCGTAGAAAAAAATAAGAAATTTAAAATTAAAAAAAAATTTTGAAATAGAAAAATTTGATTTTTTACCCTATGTCACCTCCGGGCTACCCATGAGTGTCCACAAAAAAATTTCAGACCATTCGGTCCAGCTGTTTGGCCGACTTTAGGGAACATATATACGAATGTCTTTTTTTATTTTTTTAGAGAAGAAAAGGGAAAAATGGTTATTCTTTTTTCATGCTAAAATTGCCATAATATTCAAAATTATGGGGATGATTTTGTAGAAAATCGCGGAAACCCTGGAGAAACATTTAATAAATAAATCGGCTTTAAGAAAATGGCATAGTTTGCATGATTAAGTCATACTCATATAACTTACAAATCAAGCCAATTTTTTACTTTGTATTTTTAATCTTGGATATATAACCAGAGTCCGATTTTAATGAATTTAAGCCTTTGAATTCGGTCTCTGATCTGGAAGCTCTTGTATTGTGGATATCGGGATCAATGCCTGGTCTTAAGCTTTTGTTAATCTGCAGATTAATTTAATCTTTATTCGATATCCCGCATGGTAATCGTACCCGCTCACACAAAAATCAAAGATAAATTTGACGATTTCTTCTTAAAGACTATAGCTAAAAACATGTGCATTATAGGTTTAAAATTTACATGTTTAGGGCTACAAAAAAGCATATATGAGTGAGTAAGTGAGAGCACGTATGAATAACTAAAATAAAGATAATGATATAACTGATCGGGTATATGAGTCACTGTGATCTTTCCAGGCTATTACATTTGTTTCTTAAAAAGTGCCAGGTCGACTTTACACTGGGTAGACCAGACTAGACAGTACACATGAATCCATATAAAGTACATGTGGTCCCAGCTTGGATCATACAACTTTTAGAGTATCCAGCACAAAAGTTGCCAGCTCTGTATAATATTATATATGAAAACTAGCTTGGGAACACAGCGCTGGCAAGGTTACTAAAAGTTACTCCCGCCGATTACCCGCACTTGAACGATTTTACCGGGAAACTAAATTTTCGCTATTAAAGTCAACCCAATCTTGACTTAGAATCTCAAAACCAAGCTAAGAATATTCCCATGGGTCTCCCGAGTTACTCAATCAAAATTTGGGGCAAATCGGTCCAGGAGTTCCTGAGTTATGATCGGGCAAACAAACGAACAGACAGACAAACAGAGATTACAACTTTTATATATGAAAATATATTACTCCATTTATTTTCTGTTCTAGCCAACCTTAATAATTCTATTAACCATTAATGTTATGACTAGTAAAAAAGATCATCCTCTCATTCGAAATATAACATATCTATTTTATAATATAATATAACCCTAAGTTTTGGGTTAATTATAACTAGAAAACGCTTTAATACACTTTGATTATCATATTGTAACTAATAATCCCTTTAATACACTTTGATTATCATATTGTAACTACTAATCCCTTTAATACACTTTGATTATCATATTGTAACTACTAATCACTTTAAAGACTTTGCTGATCATATCTTTTGTAAAACATTTCTTCACTTTGCATATTTAACCCTATACTTGTTTTTATCTAATATTGTTTCAATTAATACGAGCTGAAGGGCCTGGCGTTGCCCGTGGAGTAAAAATAAGATTTTTGAAAAAACTAAGATTTAAAAAAAATTAGATTTTTTGAAGAAAAAAATCGATTTTTATATGGATAACTATACTGATAGCAATACATGTAAAGTGATTAGTGATTACACTCAATTAGCAATAAATGTAAAGTGATTACAATCAATTAGCAATAAATGCAAAGTGATTACACTCAATTAGCAATAAATGTAAAGTGATTACAATCAATTAGCAATAAATGCAAAGTGATTGCACTCAATTAGCAATACACTCAATTAGCAATAAATGTAAAGTGATTACACTCAATTAGCAATAAATGTGAAGTGAATACACTCAATTAGCAATAAATGTAAAGTGATTACACTCAACCTACTAATTCCTGAACATGCATAAATAGGCCTGCTTACACCAGACCCACCTGTAGCAGGGAATGCTTTAATTGTGAATAGTATTGTGTAACGACGCAAAAACGAACTTTTTTTGGACCGTTTTGTTTTGTAATTTTCCCTTCAAAAAAAACAAATGTTTAGAATTAACAACTCTAAAAACATTTGATTATCTTACTCAACGCCAAATTTTGAACCTGATAGAAAATATAGGCAAATGCACATCACTATACCTGTCCTACGGCGGTCTTCGGTGCCTTTGATCCATATCCCACAGTGGTTAGGGTCATAAGACCCCACCAGAAGGAATCAAGGAAACTCCACTTGTTCTCAGAGTCCTTTTCAGCAAAGTAGATCAAACTGAACATAAATCAATTGATCAATTAACCTTTTTTTTGAAATATTTTTTTTTGAAACAATTAATCAATAGATTTGTCTTTTCTTTAATCAATTAATTAATAGATTAATATTTTATTTAATCAATTAATTAATAGATCAATCTTTTATTTAATAAATTGATCAATAGATCAATCTTTTATTTAATCAATTAATTAATAGATCAATCTTTTATTTGATCAATTAATTAATA